GGCGCCCCATACAAAGAAAAGGCAAGAGAGATTTTTTGTCACAAATTGAACGAGCAATTCAAAAATGATTTTTAATTTGTAATATCTCAGTGGCGTACCATTTTTTTCTTTAAAAAAATTGAGATTATTACCCGTACACGCGCCAATGATGAACATAAAATTCTTAATTGCGTGTCAAAAAATGCGCAATAACTACCTCTTAAAACCCACCAAATTTCATTTGCACATCTCGACCGGTTTCAGAGCAATAAATTAAATCGTCAGTTTTTAAGAAAAACTTTGACACCCCGTATATCGGAAAACGAATCATTTGCGGACATACGTTTATAAGCAAACTGTCATTATTTTTTCATGTAGAATCACCCCCTGAAATTTGTCGCACTTATTTACTAACACCCTGTATGTATAGTATGTCCCACAGATGGAGTTGACAAGAGGAGAAACTCTTTTATTTTTGACTTTATCGAAAAATGCCACTCTTTATAAAAAGTGCTGCTTCTCGAAAAAAATGAGACTGCTATACAAACATCTTAGATCAGATATACCGGGTGCTCATAAATTAAAATAAAAAACGAAAATACTCAAAAGAGAAGTACCATTATTTATTATTTTACACATCATTTTTACAAAAAAAGTTTTAAAATCAAAATTTCAATTTTCAATAATAAATCTTCAGTCTTCCATCGGTCTATTTGTTTAACTAACATGACTATTGTGCAGGAAAAATTGTGAATTATTTATGATGGGGAAAAAATTGGGGGGGGGGCTTTGTACAATTGATATCTACAAAAAAAAATTAAAATCTTGATTAGAGAGTAATTTTGAAACAAATATTTCTGTAGGTGTAGGTGTAAGATAACAAAAAATTGTATTAGGGAAAGATAATCAAAATTAAATTTTATGTTCATATAAAGATCAAATCGGGACAAAAAATAATTTTCTAAATCAAAAATTTTATGTCTTGAATGTTTATTTATGACTTGAATAATTAAACGTTTATAAACTGCGTTATTATTACCAGAACGTTTTGGCATCGCATCCTCTCATTCCGTATCACTGTCTAATAACTCACACGATATCTGGAATTGGTAAGTTGAATAGTTTACAAGGTAAGCATGGCCTTATAAACAAATTAACTGATTATTAGTCTGGACGATCCCGAGCATCTTCCACAATCGCACTGACTTTTTTCATGGTAGATTTCATAATAATACATTGAAATCTATAATTTATTTTAAATTTCATAGTTTATCTTATTTATAATAATTAAATTTTCATTTACTAGGGTACCACGATAGGTAGTGTGGAAATTAGCTTTCTAATAAAATTTGTTTTTTAACC